ATGTAGTAAAATAGAAGCAGATGTAGTAACATAGCGGAAGATTTAGTACAATAGTGGCAGATATAGTAGAATATTGGCAGATGTAGTACAATAGAAGCAGATGTAGTATAATAGAGGCAGATGTAGTAGAATATTAACAGATGTAGTAAAATAGAAGCAGATGTAGTAAAATAGAAGCAGATGTAGTAACATAGCGGCATTTACAGTGAGAAGTGATAGCTGATGCAATGACAACAAAAAGTGACTGGCACATGTTTAAACTGAAAAGGACTTTAAGTGGATTTCAGCAACAGCTCAGTGATGGCAAGAGAAGACATTTGTGTTTGGTTCACGGGGATAAATCTTCTCAGCTGAGGAGACAGAGACTAGTGATCAGAGAGGTGTGTTTACATCCACTCTCCACAGTGGAAGCAGACTTGATCCGAGCTGATCTCACCTTCTTATTAGCTCAGCCATCACCGAGGAAAAGCCCAGAAAGAGCAGAGAAGGTTCCTCGGTCATCAGTTATCTTGTGCCCATGAATCCCCACGCAAAAGCCGGGCAGCAGATCCCCTCTGACACCGAGCACAGGAGGGGTCAGATGTTAGAAATCCTCCGACACGGCTCACAGCTCCAGGTAGCTGTGGATGCTGTCCGACCCGGCGCTGGATGTTGTTTCTCCGCCGCGGTTTGTCTTCGATGCGGCCCGGGCATCGGTGGGACGGGGCTGGTGCCACCTGAGGAATGCGGCTGGGTCACACGCAGTGGAAGTCATGTGAAAGTACGGCGAGCTCACTGGGACAAAACACCTCAGAGCGACGCGCCGCGGAGCGCATTCATCTGTTTCCGGAAGTAAACTCCTCATTCATTTTTCTCCTGTGATGTTTCAGGAAATCCTCACCAGAGAGTCTGAAGTGTGGAAACCAGGCCGAGCAGCGTCGAGAGGGCCGGGTCTAGACAGGCATGTATGAGGGGGCAGCCACAAATCTTGAGGGGGCATTGTGAAGAGGGGATTGTAAAAAAGCAGCCAGATTGCAGAAGTTGGCTGGGGGCGGGGCTTTCTTTAGGGGTCTGCACTAAAGAACTCCTATTAAAAAATATCTCAAATGTTGCAAAATGAAAAAAACACAATCTCTTTTAAAGAATTCAGGCTCAGAATTCAGAATCGTGTGTTCAAATTGTTTCTTTTTCTTTTTGTGTGTGTTTTTTATTATATATTCTCCTGTGACAATTGCTCAATCTGTTTAATAGTATGTATCATTATGATTATGACGTGCCTTGTTATTTGTATTTGAATTTGAACAAAAGAAAACAAAAATTGTGGCCACATACATTTAACAAGTGGATGTAGCTTTTGGCTCTGAAAAATGAAGCCTATGTGGACTGCTTGAAAATGCAAGACCAAGAAATCTCCGGCTCCATACGTAGACTGTCACTCAAAAACGCAAACATCTACCATGAAATACTCGTTCAATACATTTTTTCCAGTTTGCTTAATTTTAAGACGGGTTGCCCGAATTTATCCACGGGTCCAATTCACGAAATTCAATCTCAAAGAGAAGCAGGTTTGGGGGTGTGTCTGTCTGATGAACACACAGATGTCATGGATGATTGACAGGCAGCAGTTTAGATGGTGCCTGAACAGGGCAGACTCATAAATTCTGTTAACAGAGTTCCACATTTTTAGTTAGTAATTTCATGAGACCAAATCAGTAAATTGGCTATCTTTTCCCATACTTAGAAGGGTGGTGCTCCGAGGTAACTTTAATGTCAATTAAAGTTATCATATAATAATAATATTACTTTTTAATATTTATATTAAAATATTTTTCTGATAGCCAAGATTATTCAATGCCCAACGGCACATTTAATGTTGCCATTTTCAATGCAGAGTAATCCCAACATATAATCTAAAATTCTTAGGCCAGTACTGAAGTGATTACTTTTTACTTATTGGATTCACACAAGAGTTTATGAAATATGAAAAAATAACACTAGTTCGGTAAATCATTCATAGCACACACCACACATCCACAAACTTGTCTTTCACCGGATAGCTTGTCAACCTTTGGGCTATGACACTGAAGAAGATCTTGCCTTCCACATTGAGCAGAGTTATGGAAATTGGCTGATGTTTCTACTCTTTTGGTATCAGTATTCCTCCAGCTTTGTACAAAGCTTTGGGTTTTATTTGCTTCACCCATGCCACTGTTATTTATTTCCACCAAAATTTTAAAAGATCAGTGTTATGGAAGTTTTCTAGAAACTGGTGAAAGGAGAACTCAGGCAGCAACTGATGTATGCAGAAGAATCTATGCAGAACATTTTTATGTAGACTTGATGCATCAAGGAGACCAGAAGGTGCAACAATATATAAATGCTATCAGAGTAACATGAGCATTTGTCACCTCCAAGTCTTAAGATGTCTCCCACAGCATTCCCATATATCTCACAATACTTGCATCACCCATTCCAACAACACATCCATGAAAGGCATGAATTGCTGTCGCTCTCTATGTTACATGTAGATGTTCACATTCTATTGGACAGTTGTGCCTAAAGCATTCCTAAATAATTTTAAACAACTGTGTCCTTATGCCTTGCCATTGGTGTTATTTGCTAAAGAGTTGAAGTTAGTGCCACTCTGTCTAGGGCATCTGAATAAGATATTAAAGTCCCTGAGCATACTAGACACTACAATGTACTGCTCGTTGGCCCTTTATCTATAACCTGACCTTGCGTATTGCTTGGACAGAGGGAAGTATCTGTGGATACCCCTTTTTGATCCTTTTTGATCATGAGATCAACAAACCCTACTATCACAATAAAAACAGTGGTACATATGTTCGGCAGAGGAATAATAAAAGCTATACAATACAGTGGATAAAACACAGCATAAATTCAACATGAAGGTCTCACGCATCAGGCATTTATTTGAACCCCCCTCTCTTGGACAAACAAGTCGCCGAAGTCAAAACCTCTCTCAGCCAAGTAAAAGTTTTTTGGCAACCAATTAGTCCTCCTGATTTTTAAAGATGTTATTCAAAGAATACATGATAATATAACAATCATTACAAGTACAAATGGGACTTACTTCTAGAATGTAATTGTTGGAGCTATTTAGAATGTTTATTATATATTCTAATTGTATTTAAATTATGTGTGTGTGTGTGTGTATATATTTGTAGATCACCATTTTGACCACTAGATGGTAGTATGCACCTTGGTTAGGAGGTAACACAGGCCATATGGTTCTTACCGTAAGCGTAATCATAAAGGTAAATGTAATATAGGTAATATTAACAACATCACAGTAATTCTTTATATCGTAACCATCAGTCTGCAATAAGCTGCAACATCACCCAAAGTTATGGCAAACATTTGGACATTCACTTACGCGTCAAGAACATTCTTTTTTCACCAATGTAAGTGACTACTTTGGAACAATGGAATTAAACTGATAGTCACAACAGTAATACAACAATGATTGAGTCAAAACAATCAGATTAGATAAACCTAAACGTTAATCAAAGAGTAAAATTGATATCTTAACACCAGGGACTAGTTGGTTTCTTAAATTCAGGGGTGGGCACCGGTTTTTCAATCAACGCCATTTTGATCCTTCGCGGGACACTGAGAAAAATAATTTTTTGGCTATGAATTTTTTTCCTTGCTTGTGTGGGAGTCTCGGAGAGTGGGCCACATGATATGATTCCTGCCGATAGGCAGGAGGTGATAAAAAGTCTACCCGTTTCAGGAGAGACTATGGTGATACTACGTAATGAGTGTGCTTTCTTCCCTTCTGTAGCCATAAAAAGTCTACCCGTTTC